ATAATATTTTGATTAACTCCACATTTATGAAGATGTTGTGAAGTCTGGAGGGGGCTCTTTTTCCCGTCCGTGTCTGTTCTCAGATTTTCAGAGCCTTTCTCTTTTTTCCTTCTCATTCTCTCCTCAATATAATCAGGCTGTTGAGTGAAGTAGAGCTCTAAACCTTCATTTGGCTGCCTCTTGTTCCCGACCTGTGCTCCCATGAATCCACCTGTTTATTGCTTGTTTATTAGTGTTGATTCCAAAGGCAAGCATGACTTTTATTATTGCTCACACTTTGGGTTAGTGATTTGAACAAACCTCTAATAATAACTATTAAACTATACTTTGTAACTCATCCTGAACCACCATTGTGCTACAGACATGAATGATTCCTCTAATCACGAGGCTTGTTGAGGAGATATAATGGATTTATGATTTATTCCTGGCAGACTAAAAAATCCCATTGAAGGAGAAAATTGATTTTGTGGTTGGCCTGCTCATCATTTTGATAAAACATTCCTGATGTTGAGGAGCCAAACATCACACAGGTGAAACTTTGCATTACTATCTGTTAGATTTATTGTGGATTTGAGATTGGTGGCACTCGGGTAACGTCATGAGTATGTGTGTTTGGAGAAGGCTTTTGTAAGAATTCTTCCTTTGGGGAATGTTATAAGTCTGAGATTGATGAGCCGTATGAAGGGAATCTGGGACAACACATTTATAATAGAAAGGTTAGTTCTTCGTTTATGAACAATGGAAGGAAACGCACGCCAGTGTTGAGTCTGTGTGAGTGTGACTGAGAGTGTAGGAAACCTGCTGCTGTGTCCAGATGTGTGTGTGTGTGTGTGTGTGTGCGTACTGGTATATATGGTTTATGAGGACACAAATGTGTATAATGACATGGGTACTACAACGTAAACATGGTTTATGAGGACACTTCCTGTGTCCCCGTAAAACAAAAGGCTTAAAAAACATGATGAAATGCAAAAAATGACAGTAGTTTCCTGTGAGGGGTAGGTTTGGGTGTAGGGTTGGTGTAGGGCGATAGAAAATACAGTTTGTACAGTATAAAAACCATTACGCCTATGGAGAGTCCCCGTAAACCACAAATGCAAGTGTGTGTGTGTGTGTGTGTCTTAAGACAAACAGACAAAAGCACTTTCCTAAGGAAATGTCTTTAGTAAATGGCCAGAATATATTCTATTCTATTAGTTCTCTTGTTGTCTTATCTAGTTATTTGTATTTACTGTACACTACCTTTCAAAAGTTTGGGGTTGGTAAGATGTTTCTGAAAGATTTTGTTTTCTCTTATTCTGACCTAGGCTACATATATTTCATGAAAAATGCAGTAATATTGTGAAATATTATTGTAATGTAAAATAAATACTTTCTCTTTGAATATATTTTCAAACGTAATTTATTCCTGTGATGGTAAAGCTGAATTTTCAGCAGCCATTACTCCAGTTTTCAGTGTCACATGGTCCTTCAGAAATAATTCCAATATTCTGATTTGCTGTTCAAGAGACATTTGTTATTAATAGCAATGTTAAATTTTTTTTAAAACTTAATATTTTTTGTGTAAGCTGACAAATTTTTTTTTTCAGAAAGTTAGAACAGCATTTATAGAAATATAATTTTTTTCATAACAGTGTATTTCAGTGCACACTTGCTGAAAAAAAAAACAGACATTTGAACAGTGTTGGGGGGTAACGCATTACAAGTAACGCGAGTTACGTAATCAGATTACTTTTTTAAAAGTAAAGTAACGCATTACTTTTTATTTTACAAGAAAATATCTTAGTTACTTTTTCAAATAAGTAACGCCAGTTACTTTTTTCCCATTTATTGATTGAAAGCTCTCCTGTCCCCATGTTGAGAGAAAGATGTTACTTTAGTTCTAGAATAAATGTTAACATGCGTTAATTCATCTCACTCACAAAAAAACAGATTCACTATTCCTCAAAATGAATAAAAACAGTGAAATGCAACTCAGAATATGACGCAAACCTGCAATAATTAAATATGTTAAATTGCACAAATATCCTTTATGTATTTAATCCCATTTTATTATCCAGTGTCTTTGCTGCTGACCTTCGATGATCCAACAAACACAACAAAAATTACTCGAGATAAACTAACATTTGTTCTTCATTTTTTCGCTTAAGATTATTTGTTTGTTCATCGCTTAAGATGTCTGAACTTTCTTCTGTGTTCTACTGTACAGACGTGAATTTACATTTCCTTCAGCCTGAGGCTTTTGGTGTAAAAGGGCTTTTACATTTGGCAAAATTAGAACTTTTTATATTAAAAACAAACAAGCAAGCCCTGTCCAGATTTAAAAAGTAACGCAAAAGTAACAACGCATTACTTTCTATAAAAAGTAACTAACGTAATGTAATTAGTTGCTTTTTTAGGGAGTAACACAAAATTGTAATGCATTACTTTTAAAAGTAAATTTTCTCAACAATGCTTTTGAATGGTTGTGTGTGTGTGTGTGTGTGCGCATG